GTGTGTGACAAATCACAATATGAAAGGTTTGTCATGGATATTGGTTTTCATGCGAAACCCTTGGGTTGCAGGCAATAAGGGACAGGAGGTTTCGTGTTGGCAACTCTATTTCAACAGTTGAACTCCTATGTAAATATATACAGATTCATATCCTCCTAGGTACTTTTCTCTTTAGTTTAGAATCTTATGATTTGAGTCCACGCCAGCTTTTGACCACTCGCCAATCGTCTTTTGTCCCTCGAGTTTCCACAGTACGCAATGTTCGGCCAGCCATTGGCGTCCAAGAATTAATCTGTGGTTTCCGAGAGAAGTGACTAAAAAAGGAGTAAATGTTTGAATGCGTTTGTCAATAGTAAGATTCAAATGAGTGTAATGAGTAATGGACTTGCCAGCGAGTCCGTTGTACCCTTTGATTGAAATGGGACGAGGAAGGCGATGAAGGAAAGGTTTTAACGAGTGTGAGAGTCTCTTGAGCAAAGAAGAGTCCAGTAATCCATAGCCATTGGCTCCTGAATCAATGAGTGTCTGGAGGGAGTATGAAATGCCGTTTTTAGTTAGAAAGCAAGGCATTGTAAGATGGGGACCTCCCAAAAGTTGGCTGATATCCAGGTACTGCATATTCTTCACTTGACCTAATAAGGAGGCTTTCCCTAGGCTTTGTCTTTTAAACGCGGAGTATGTTCTTCGTCAGCCGAGTCTTCTAGAGCATCGTGATATTCAATGTCGGAGGAAGAAGATGTACTTCTATCTTCAATAGCGTTAATTGACTTTGAACGGTAATCAGCCGGAGGTCCAGAGGAGCGCCCTGGAGTAGCTGACAAATGTTGAGGTCCTCCATTGCCTGAATAGTTTTTTGGACGCGGAGAAAACTTCGGGGGGTCCTGGGGCCTCGTCTTGTCGTACGATTGGTGGCGATCAGATTGTCGGTATTGCACCGGAGGGGAAGAGCTTGGTGCCATTTTCAACAACATATCTGATGAAGCCGATTTATCATAACTGTTATGCCGACCCTGAGAACGTGCTGTGCCTTTGGAATTTGAGTTTCCGGAAGGCTGCTGATTTGTGAGAGTTTGTCGACGTGCGGATTGCTTGGCTTGAGCTTCAAAATCAGCGTCGACGTCCTGGATGACATTAGCGTATTCGTTCAGGGTTCGGCATCTCCTCCATTCGTTGACCACTGCGCTTCTCAATCGTTTGGCTATCTTGTTCCGGAGGTCCGACTTGAGCATCTTCTCATCAGTTAGGCCAGCCTGATTAGCCAGAATACGGAACTGTTGAAGAAATGACGGAACTGTTCGTAAGGTTGCATTTCCAGTTCATGGTAGTCATTACTGGCGGTTTGCTGCTCGGCCGGGTCCAACAAGAAGTCTACAACTTCCTGTATTAGTCTGTTTGGTGATGGACGTAGGTTCATATCCATATATAGAGGAAGAAGGAAATCGCGCGCAATCCCTTCCGTGTTGTCAACAATATAGCTGCGGCAATAGCTGTTGTCAAAAAAACTGGAATTGTACCATTGCAGTCTTTCGAGAATTTGCTGTTGCCATAGACGCGGTTTCATATCCCTACCATCTGAAAGTCTGGAAGGTAGCAAGGAGATATTCTCTGGTCGGAATGCGGGTCGTGAGGTCGAAGCAAAGCGAGTGATTTGAGTGTGGTTGGGGTATTCATCATCATCCAAGGGGTCTTGAAAGCGAACTTGAGCGTGGCCCTGTTCTGTAGAAGGAATTAGATTGTCAGGATTCCTGGAGGTTGACTCGAAGGCGGAATTTGTAACACTACTGGTTTTGTAGGGCCTAGCAGTGGTATTGCAGGATGTTCCAAGACGACTTACCCGAATTGCAGTCTCTAGGTCTTCCAACTCTTGTGCGCATGCGAGAAGAGCACGTTCTCTTTTAAGCAGGTCTACCTCACGGTGTTCCAGGTCGGTAAGGTCATAAGGATCTCTAACGGTCTCCAGTCTAGGAGAGGCGAGTTGCTTGGCTTTTCCTTTGCCCTTCTTACGCTCTGACACATTCCTGGAAGGCATTAAGGGCTACTGTGGCGGAGATGACAAGGAGGATGACTCAGATAAAGCTGCAGCTGAGGTAGTGGCGGTATCTTGGATGTTGTGAAGCGGTGTAAATCGATTGTCGTTGGCAGTTTGTTCCTGGGAATCGATTTGAGATGGAGAATGATTTTGCGAGAGTTCAATACGTTCAGAACGACGTATTTTTTTGGACTTCGCGAAGGGATTTTCTGATGAATTAACCATGCTTCGAGAGGATGACTATTTCTCTCGGTATCTGGTCTTTCTTGGAAAGCGAGGCGTAATTCGCTTTGATTAGGCCGGGCACAAGGGAACTGAAATCTTGATGTTAATTTTTTTGTAGGCCGTCGCCAGCCTGAAGGTGGTAAGAGAGCTTAATATAAAGTGACAAGATCGATGTGTGAAAGTACTTCAATTAATCCTTAGAATATTAAGCTAAAGAGAGAAGAAAGTTACTATGAAAGGCGGGGTATCTACACCAAACTATATACAAAGAACGTGGGTGACATTATAAAATTGGCAGGGAACAGAGCCTATGTGCCTCAGGCCGCCCTCATCATCAGCATCGTGACACTTTGAGGCTTTGAGTCTTTGAGGGTAGGGCGTAGCTGTGATCCTCAACAGCTGTATTTTTCCTAGGCGCGACTGGTTTTGGAGTGCTTGCCATGGTGTTGGGCTTCTTACCTGGAAAGTTAGATGCTTCTGCCTGATATACTGCGAAGGCAGTGATAACAGGCATCATATTTTCCAGCAGAGTCGCGACAACTGCTGCTACTTGTTTCTCTCCTTTGCTCTTAGCCCAGGAGTCGATAAGTTCTAGAAATTCCTGGGCCATATCTAGTCTTTCTTTCTGTTGTTGTTCTGCTTTTTACATGGTATTCACAATGCCAAGCAGGCTTGGGTGAAGTTGCTCTCCTGGATTGGAGGGCGTTGTTGATGACGATGCAACAGCTGGGGCCATTGCTCCGATTGAAGATTCTTGTAAATAAGAGTAATGGGTAATGCAATGTGGGATGATAATATCAATTGATTTTTTTATTTTAAATGAGGACCACTGTACCCAGTTCGGCCTTAAGGTGGGACGTGGTTTGTTAAACTTTCAAGGTAGCTAACCTGATCCAGCCCGTCCCCACTCGTACTTATGCTCCTTGAAGAAAGCGGAGGATGACAGATGCCGAGCACATATAAAAAAATACATACTATTGGAAATATTGCGCAATGAAATGGGCGCAATATTTATGTAATGAAATTAAAAGTTGACTAAAAAAGTGTCTTGTCCGAATGTTACGGTTTGACCGTGGTTTAGCTTAGGCGGAGACCTAAGCGGAGTTTGGGGGCGTATTCGGGAGAGTGTTACACATTATCTTGTATCAAGCGACTTAGTTTCACTTGGCCACACTACATTAAAGCTAGGAAGGAATGTGAGACGGCGAAGTAGAATTGCCAAGTGAGAGGGTCAGCTAGATGGCAAAGATGACGACGGGCAGTGGCGAAGCAATATGTCATTCTCACCAACAGAGTACGTATTGGATGAGCTAGAAGGATGTACAAATAGTCATTGCCCGTAGTTGTGATACTTCTCTCTTCATATAGTTTAATCTTTCTAAAAGTACACTACAACCAGCTTGGTTTCGTCACACCGAATTACAAATAGAAGAGTTGGAATTGTACATTACAAGTACCAGTGAAATCGGCACAATGCAAAAAAAATAAAAGAAAATAAAAGAAATCGGCACAGAGCCTAAGCCACAGCATAAACGAGTGTAGCGCCATGCAGGCATAGAAAACCCCCAATGACATCCTTGTGCCCACGCTATACAGCCGCTCATGTCTCAATTAAGTAGCCTGAAGCGCTACCATATTGAGGTTTCTTGTGCACGTTAGTAAGAATAAAATGATAAATGTTGACTGTGAAATTCACGGATGTCTCGTGGCTCCGACTACGACAATCTATATGTGTGTAGAGCTTGAGACTAGGTGTAAACTTGTGTTTCTATTAACGTTCTAACTCCTCCTTAAATACATGAATTCCACTATACTCCAGATAATGTAACGATCAATGATACATGACAAGTAAACTATCAGAATACAGTGGGAGAGGAGTGAGGTGCTTAGCCGCCCGAATTGTGACCAAAGAATGCGAGGGGTGCATTCTTGATGGAACTTCAAACTCGGCGGCTCGCCTAGGATCGGGACTTCGGCGTCTCGCCTAGACTCGGAGCTCAGCGGCTCGCTTGCCGTGAGACTTGGCGTTACGCTCGGACTTGGAATTCAGGATCCTCAATATTACCCATTCCAACCTCTTGATTACTCACAAGATCGTATCGGGAACCAAGACAAATGGAGGGCCCGTACGTCCACAACGCTTTGTTTCTCCGTTTCCAACATAAACATACATTCTATCTTGAGTCTTTATCTCGTCTCTATGTAGAAACCCACAATTCCCGTTGATCTCTCACCATCTGTTGTTTTCAGGCTAGACTAAAAGATTTAATAATACCTTTGGCAGTTCTGAATCTGTATTAGGAACCCATTACATCAATCCTTATCCACCGGTCTTCCCGAAGTTGTCTAAGCCCCGGCTTATTCTGCCTTCTCACTCGACAGTCTGTCGGTTATGATACCTAGCTCAAGTCAAAAACACCCAACATATTGAACAATATAAATCATCTTAAATCCACTAACATGAAGCCCAAACACAAGAAACTTATAGCCTACGTGACATTTATAACCTTGATTCGTATTTCGTACAGTCCTTCTAGACTTTGAGAATGTCAGAGTTTTCTACATTTGTTGTTCACGTCCTTTAATCATCATGGCTTGAGGAGATGCTTGGCCATTACGGCTCTGTAGCTACTAACACTACATTATGGTTAAGAAGTTATCCCCAAAAATATTAGCCGTTTTAAAGGTTTGCCAATCCTATAAGCATGAATAAATAGTAATGTCATCGCATCGAAAAACATTTTCTCTAGGATTCAGTAGCTGGACCGAATATTCCCTGTAAATGAAGAATGATGTCGGCAGAGAAGTTCAGGCAAACTTGATGATAAGTTAATTTACCATTCGATAATTGACCATGGTACAGACTGTAACTCTTAGACCTAGTGTCGTAGCCTATCGCAAATGCGTCATTGAACGCTTAATTTTTTAAATTAGTCGATTTCAGTAAAATTGTATCGCGAAGATTTACCATTTATGTGGGTTTCTGGAGTTCTCATTGGCCAGAGCCAAATTGTTTTCTTTTTTACAATAGGAAAGTTGAGTTTTCGACCATTGAATTTCGACTTCCAATTTTTCATGGCGAACTCTAAATAAAGCCATATTGTCTTGGTCTTGATCTCATGTCCAAAGCAAGTCTCGGGCCAAATACTGTCTTGGACTCTGTCGAGATCTAGAATAGACGACGGGCTGTAGATGGTCTCAGATGAGGTCGATGATAAATCCCATAAAGTTTCACATTTATCTTTATCTTTTATACTGATGACTCCCTTGATTTCACTGCTGCTCATATCAAAAACAACACGGAATTTACCTGGCATACCTAGCGAATCAAGGTTAGAGTTTTGAATAAATCGGTTGAGAGAAGTCATAAAGACCATGAGTAATTTTGCAAGATGATTTTCTCCGCACTGGATACGAGTAAAGATTGACACCAACAAATTTATCATCCGTGTATTTTTCAAGACTAGCCAGTTTTTCTCTTCCTTCCAGTCTATGTCGAAAATAACCACTCGAGATCAACTCCTTTATATTATAAACTGTAGACTCTGGGATTACTCCAAAACCACAACCGTAGCCAAGCCTAGATATGGTTATACTCCCACTCTCGTTCAATATTCTACGCTCGTCATTACCTTCCTCGAGAGACCTATGTACCGGGCTGCATTTCTCGAATGAAACTTTCTGATCTTGGTCCTGGGAGTTTACGATTACCATACCCATGATTTGCCCCCTAATATTTATGATGAGACGGAATGTTCCTGGATGGCCTAGTCTGATGTTCAGTGAATGTCTATGAATGCGGGAGGATACTTTTAAAAAGTTGATAAAATACCGTAATAAAAATTTTCGTTGAGCACGACAGGCCATGATAGAAGAATGTCTGATTTCACATTAAATAGATGCGTATCTTCGAATAATTCCGGAAAATTAGAGAGATAAAGTTCAAAGAAAGTTGATTCCATAGCTTTTCCTACCACTTGCCGTAAATGATCAATTGTAAAAAAATCCACTCCACATACGAAGCCGTTGGTTCCACCTGGAAGGTACATGTCCGAGTATGGGATATTGGTACATATGAATTGATGAATCAACCCAGATATTGCAAGGGAGATACGGAACTTAGTCCACATCTTCACCGTAAAGCAAGGTAGAAATCCAGAGTCATGGGATGAGCAGTATCGAGAAATGTAGCAACGATCGTATTTGTGCAAAACTCTCAGTTGGAGGCGCCTATCCTGAATTTCGAGAAAATTTGGAAGCAACTATGTCACGGTTGCATAGCTAATTAGACGCTGACTGCCAAGTTACGAGTTTGATCTGGTTCATTCGAAAGTTTAATAATTCGAGTCAGACCGTGAATAGAACCCACACACTTAATAGTTGGGGTGGAAATGACATACTCCCCTACTCAGTGGCTTAAAATCGTCTGAGTTTGACTTACTAACCATCTATCAAAGGTTGTAGGAGGGCGAAGGCTGAACACCTGTCAGTGGTGCCCTCTGAGCCTGGGAGCAAAACATTCTCCCAGAGCCGAGATTCAGTCACGAAAAAGGGTGGGATGAATTTTATTTGCTGGATTTCCGACTTGAAGGAATTGCACTCGAAATTTTGGTCCAAAAACCAGTCGGCAGAGATTTCACAGCCGGAACAACGACGAACTAAAAGTCATCACCACCAACATACGATTCACGAATGGGCCTAGGTCTAACTGGGGGTCGTATTCAAATATCCGACATCTCTTAAACTCCTTTTATACTTGCGACGAAGCATTTCTCAATCGATCCTATACCTACGACCTACCTCCGTACTCGTCCGATCACCTACCTACACACGCCCTAATGAAGAAAGTCATGATGGAAACGGGACGTGTACAAAGGAGGAAGAAAAGGGAAGATACACCGAGGGGATCGCACAAATCCCCAATGAAGACAACAACCCAATGGTACGATATGAAGGTGCAAGGCCAGAGCAACGATGAGATCTGGGACTACATTTATAATTCGGAGTCAATGAAGATGTAAAGGGCTCGGATGCGGGGTGGCCGAGGCTGAAGAGGGATTTGCGGTTCGGAGCGCCAAAAGGGGGTTCTCTAGACGGTTGGGCTTGACATGATTCAACACACGGGTGAAGTGTGGAATTTTCCGGTCATTCAGATGGGACGGGGTAATTGTACGTAACGGTGGTTAACCTGATCCGGCCCGATCCCCCTCGTGCTTTTATCATTTATTTTTTTTGCGTAAGATTTTAATTGCGTAAACAGCTATCTAGCTATGACACAATATCAAAGAAAAGTACAGAAGATATGACTCAATTTACAAGAGGAGCACTCTTGCCTCGGATTTCATTTGTAAGTACCACTGCCAAGTTATGGTAACTTTTTCTTCACCCCAAGTCATCCCTCATCACTCCGCACCGTCTACAAGAAAACAATTTAATTTATCATGTTTAAATAAATCAAAATTAGCTAGTTTATTTCAGGTAGATCCTAGAAGTCCTCCATAGTCATAGACTCAGACAGGACTATACTAAAATCTAATCTAATCAACCCTCATCCGTGAATACCCACCCAGGGGAACGTCTCAAAAACTCTGAATTATCCGGACATACCTTTGTCATCCACCAAATTTTCTCCGCGCAAAATGTAATCTGAGATGTCTCTTTCCCAAGTGAATTAGGTGCCCATGCTACTCAGACTATACCAGAGAACACTACCACGAGGCGGATCACAACACCTTCCATCGTTTGCTGGTATCTATAGTGTCAGCTGCACTCTCGCAAGTGTAGTGAAGAAAAAGCCACCATAACTTCGCAGTGGTACTTGCAAATGAAATCTGAGGCATTAGCGCTCTTCCTTTACGTTGAATCATCTATTCTGTACTTTTCTTTGATATGGTGTCATAGCTAGATAGCTGCATACGCAATTAAAATCTGATGCAAAAAAAAAAAAGTCTCGCAAGTGAAGTCTCGGCGCGCACAAAGCCCAATTCGAAAAATTCCTCGCCAAATTCAGAATTTCACGCCCGTCAGGATTTTATCCATACACTGCATCATCTTACTATCTTATCTTGATCCCTCTCACGCCCGTCACAAAGAACTGTCTCCCAGATTTGTGCGCCACGCTTTGCTTCCTCCGTTGGGTATAAATATCGGCGTGGGCGTGTATTTGGTGACCGGCTGAGGCCAGAGAAAGTCGAAGAGAGGTGTGGTCCTTGGGGTGAGGATGTACTTGGTCGTACTTGTAGACTTGATGAGGCTTAGGTAGGAGTCAAACTCGTTGGGAGCGAAATGACGACGTGGTGGAGTAATTTTAGTCATTGCCTCGTGGTCCAACTTCTTTGATATTGCGAAATTTGACTGAACTTGGCTCTGGGAGAATATTTCACTCCCAGGTTCGTAGAGGACACCGCGTACAGGTGTTCAGCCTTGACTTCCGTGTGCGCACATAGTTTCTATCTAATTGGTGTCCTTCGTAGCCTTAGACTTGGAAGGGACTATACTAAAAATTCTTATCTTATCTAATTAGATATGTGGACTCTATACAATCTACGTATACGGATCGGCTAATTTACTAAGCTAGCTCCTGGCAAATCCCTTCGCATCCCATAACATGAAGCCCACATGGAGGACGAAGGCTGAACACGTGTCAGTGGTGTCCTCTACGAACCTGGGAGTGAAATATTCTCCCAGAGCCGAGATTCAGTCACGAAAAAGGGTGTATTTGAGAGTTTTCGTCGAGTTGGCGATCGGGAGTAGTGGAGTTGGCTCATTTTTGGTCGAATATCCGACTTGCAGAGATTTCACGACTGCACAACTCAACGAAATCAACCATCTACACCCCAGATACGAACTGCAGATAGCCTATAGCCTATAACCTGTCTGATGTTCGTATTACAAAAACCGACACCTTCAAGATCTTAATTTCTATTTCTCTGGAAAATCGTTCCCAGCCAAACTCATCTCGCGGCCCTCTCCACAATCATCTCATCACCTACCGAAGCAATCCCATACCTCCAAAAGCCTAATCGCCAACTAAGAAGCAAGAGGATGTCCTACCCTCCGCAACTGCCAGCCGCTGTGAAGGTACGGTCGAAATATCGGCCTTAAATGCGTCCTCACCTCGGCCAAGGGCACCAACAACTCGACCTACGACGAATCGCCACCGACGAAATACGTACGACATTTCGCCGGCACACCAATTAGGGCATTCTACAAAGGCTGGGGCACCGGTGCCTCGGTCTTGAGCTCTCAGTCGCGTTTTCGAACTCCACGGTTAGGGGTACGGCAGCGACGGGGCAAGGCCGGAAGGGTGGACATTCTGCAGAGTTTCTGGGATGACGAGATTGGCTGAAAGATAGAGAGATGCTACATGTAGTAAAAAAAGGGAATAAAAACTGAGGAGGCCTCCAGTGAAGAAAACGACCCCTGGATGAGATGAGGAGATGATGAGATGAGCCAAAGCTTCGAATGAATCGAAGTGAAAAGTTACAGATGGCGAAGGTGTCAAGGTCTCGGGCGCGTGGTGGCCGAGACTGAGTAGGAATTTGCGTTTTGGCGCGCCAAAAGGGGGTTCTCTGGACGGTTGGGCTTGAAATGATTCAACACATGGGTGAAGTCTGAGGTGGTCCGGTTATTTAGGTGGGACGAGGTAGATGTACTTAATGGTAGTTAACCTGATCCAGCCCGGCCCCACCCGTGCTTAAGCTCCAGTAGGAGTGCAACGGGAATCACTTTACCCAGCACGTAAATGAACAAGACAAGATATGAAGCCCATAAACTTACCTTTGATGAGGGCTCACGGGCGAGGGTCGACCGTTTAGAGTAAATAAGCTTACTTCAGTGTGATCTTTGTGAATCAAATATAGAGAATGAGCACCTCTGAAGTCAAAAGAATCATCCAGCATACTCAACTTACAGACATTATGTTGAAAATTGACTAAGAATATGCAAAACTCTTCAAGTGGTCACGGAGACACAAAGTACAAGCTTCATGGGGTTTCGATAGATGTAAATTATGTTCAATGTCAAGGCTTGATCGAAACTCTTAATCTTCACCAAAGGATATGAGACTGTTTATATACATGAATGTCTAGCATTGACATAGGCTAGAGTGTAGTGTCTCATTATGGAAACAAGGGAACAAATCACAGATCTGATACCAGTTATGCAGCGAGGTTATCAGACCAGGATCAGAGCCCGATGAAATTCGTATTCCTGAATTAATGTTTCGTAATTCATGTAAATTCCATTCTTCTAACATGATCGTAACATTATTGTCAGAATAATATGCCAAGCTGGTATCTGACATAATATGTGATTGCCTCAGGAAAACCTTGGCGTTTTGGGTAATTTTGAGCTAGAAAATACTTGGCGTCCGTGTAACAGACGTGGTGGACTGGTATTTAGTCGGTTTAAGATTACATTTTGGCTACAACATGTTTGGATTGTATCCTGTGATGTAAGGAAGCTATTTCTAGATATTATCATCGTATGTCAGGTAGTAGATATGTGTAGATATATAAGCTAAGAGAAAGAGGAAGGAAGACAGACAGACAGACAGACAATTACATCTTTTTATTTCACTTCAATTGAAAGCTCCTGTGCGAGCTATTCTTCCAGATACCTCTAGTCTCAATCATTACAGCTTCCGAACCAGCTCAAAAGGTTCGACAGAGGTTAACACTTACTCTTATCACAGTCCTGAATATCAGACACGAAATGGATGGATAGCTGCACGCACAATAAATGGTGAAGAAGAACTTTATGACTCGGAATGTACGTGTTTCATTCCACACTCTTTACAGCTGCTATTAAATAGTACCGCCCCTCATAGGCCTTCGTTTAACTATGCTTCTCCGACTTGCTGGTGTTTTGTCCGTCACGTAGCGCAAGGCATATAAGCCCGAATGAGGTGCATGTCACAAGAGTCTCATGGAAGAAAAAGACCAGTAAATTCTATCCAGTGCGCTAAAGGCCAGTAACGCCTCTATCTTTAATTCGGATAGGTTTTCAGGAAAAGAATGCCTTTGCCCCGGCACACGTAAATTGAAATGAAGTGCACTGAATACTTCGCGAAAACGTCGTCAACAACAGTATGAAATGAATCCTTCGGTAGGCAGTTGTCCACAACGCTCTCCCGGCCCTTTACAAACAACAACCAAGAATAACAGAGAATATTAATGACCGAACTGGCCCCATGGTTGTGACGCGTCTAGCTTGTTCCCAACAGCTCTATAGCAGGCTTCAAGGTCTTGCTTGAATTTGGTTTTCAGTAGTAAATCTTTGCTCAAGTTCCATCTATGCTCAACTGGAGATCTGTATTGAAATTGACCAGTAATGTACCTAAAATCGGCCTGGAGTTTACTGATGCATCCAGCGTAATGGACCAAAAAGTTGATAAGATTGTGTCTTTTTTTCGCCAAATCGTCAATATTAGTTTCAAGAAACCAGTGAACTTTTTCTATAAATTTCGGTGCCACGGATGGCGAATTAATATCAAATTTGAGACTCTCTTCAGACACTCTTTCTTCGCTGAAGCAATGCAGATTGCCTTGGTACCATAGCAGAAGTTTGAATCTAAGATTTACATTTTTACTGAGATAGAAGGAATATTTGGTTAGAAGGTCACTCATCATGACGGGCTTATCGGCCTCGATAAGAGGGACGTTTGTTTTCAGTTGTGGGGCAAAGTGTCGATAGGTTCCGACTACTTGAATCTTTCTTTTATTTGCTAGTCCAGCAATGACTTTAGTTGAACAATTATTTCCTCTCGTGAGCACCGACATGAGGGGGTTTGAAAGTTCTTGGGGAATTGTTTCGATATAATTCAGACAGATTTTTTCATTTCTATCGACAGGAGCGACAGCAGTATTAGGCTTGTAAATTAATTTGGGTCTTTTCCTAGTTAGCTCGAGCAATATTTCATCTGCTGATTTTTGAAATGAACAGTACATTGCGTGGTATGTACCGTCAGGTTTGACTAAAGTTGAGTAATGAATGATATCTGAATTTTCTCTTGGCACTGGAAACTGTTTTCTATTGAGATTATCATGGACACTGTAATGATTAAAGTTTTGATCTTGGCCCACAAGTACTAGACGGCCCACGCTGCTCAGGAGAAAAGCGAATAAACAGCTCATGATTGTGCTAAAGCCGTTTTCTTATTTTAGAGTCGGCTGAGCTGGAGAGAATTTTGATGAGGGCTATTGAGTTTGAGTTACCATTAAGGGCGCCTTTGAACCCTACTAGATGGATATCAAAATGCTAATATACCGCAAATTCAAGGAAAGGAAAGATGGTCAGGAATAAGACGGTTAAGACCTAGAGTACAAAAGGGATCAACCCAATTTAAACCAAAAAATTGTATAGAAAATGTCTGCTAATCTCGCTCACGGAATAGCTAACACCTTGATATTTTTAATTTGTAACCAAACGCCCACGTGCGCTCATATATCACACGCCATGATAAGAAGGATGGAAGGGGTACGGCCCGTAATATAAGTTAAATTTATTAGTATAGAAGTCAAAAAAGGTCAGAGTTCAGTAGCCATAAAATCCTACCATTGCCGGGTTAATCATTTGGTGCAAAACTAGAAAAATGTAGATGGTATCTAGGCACGACTAATCCAAAGATAATCGTTTGTCAAAGTTGAGTGGAACGGTGGGCCAGAAAAGGATACGCTACGCCGTGTCAGATTCAATGGAACCTATCTTGAGTATTTGAATTGTCCACCGAAATGAGAGAATCTAGATAAAAAATATGCTTGGCTGATTTTATTTTACTATTTGATTTGCTGGTTTCGTTAAGGTTGCCAGATAACCGGCATCCTCCGCACCCTTGAAAAGTCCGATACAAATTCGGACCGCACTACACCAATTTGATGTTCATGCACTGAATAATGAACTTAGTACTTCCTAGTTAGCCAGACTATGTTAGATTCTGCTGATATTCTGGGCCACAACAAGCCAGATTGATAGAGGAACCTTGATTTCTCACACAATAGTGTAGAATTCTTCTTGATTTTGATCTTAATATGACCGAGCCCTTGAAATCATAAGGATCTCTGAACATCTTCGCCTTTCTAGATCCCGGCCTTGGTTTGAGCTAGAATCTGCTCTTAGTAACGTCGGCTTGTTCATAATCTGGAATCTTATCCCCGCCTTATGAGCATAAGACGCTGAGTTAATATTCACAATTTTCCTGTTTGTTTCGAACCTCACTTTAATCATGAATAACTCCATACAGGCGTGCATTAGTGGATGAGAAGATGGGTGTGATGGCAGGCTAGAGGCCCGACTCTCCACAAAAAGGATCTACCACAGAGGTGGAGAGAGCTTGAAAGCTATGTGTTTCAAAGTCAGATGCCTAGAACTATTTCAGTCCATCCATGAATAGTATATTGATGGCTCTCTTTGAGTCTTAAACATTACCGACATCTCTACCGACTCATATTTTTGAGAAAACTATCGAGTTCAATTTCACCAAGTCGATAATCAATCAAATGAGCTTGATTCTTCGCTTGTTTGTGAAAAATTCTAGCTTTGGAGGATTTTTTTGTCCCTGGATGCGTAAAAGGCATAGCTGAAAAGCGCTAAAACTTTGTCCTCCACATGTCAGCGCATTTTTATCCGTACTTTCATAGGCCGGCTATCTTTTCTATCAAAGCTCTTTACTATTAAGTTTGATTGAAGGATTCGGGGGCCGGTGGAGTCTAATCATTGTTGACGATGCTTTAAATTAATATTTTATCATCCTTTCTCAGCTTCAGAAGACGGGCCGTGTTCTTGTGCTTATACCGTTACATGGGCCATGCTGAATAGGGTCAAACTATTAATTATGCGTATACTGGAGATCCAGGGCTCATAAAGTAAATCTCTTGGCATATGGTAGTATCTTTACAACTATATGATAAGAGCTAGATTGTTAGTATGATCGGGTCTTGCTATGGTAGGTGTGGACTCCTGGATCAGCGAACCACATCGACAGTCCCTTGTATACCTAAAATAGTGGATAGAAATAGAAGAGAGTGGCAGATAATTAGGCGATCCTGTAAGATGAACAAAAGTGCCGCTAATTGACACTAGCAGAAGCTTGAACAAGAAAAATCTTGGTTTCAAAGGAAGAGACAGGGTAAAGAGCGGAACAATGACAAGGGCTATGGTGTATTAGATTCCCCAATAATTTGGATCAGTCACGACATGATAAGCTTAATTTTGTATAGACATGGGTAGTGCATATCACGCAGCTTCCAACCAGTTGACTTGTAAAGTAGTGCGTGGGACTTGGTGTTTCCGAATTTAATGCGAATACAGAGTATTATCTATTCAAACACAGATTTTCTTTTCGTGCGCTAAAGCTCTAGCCCGAGAATTAATAGGTATTCATTGCAATCTACGAAGCTTCTCAACCAGAAATTCAGGCTTTGGATTCCCAGGACGGCGGCTGAACCTATGGGGAAATTTTTCTTCGGCCCGTTTGCAACGAGTACTCCTGATAGTCCAACCTGGCACTATTTATTATAATGATGACACCCAGGGTGGCCTGTATCAAACATTCATTCTTTTTGCATGAGGTTTTCATTGCGTATGCAGCTATCTAGCTATGACACAATATCAGACAAAAAGTACATAGTATATGGCTCAATTTAAAAGATCACTCATGCCTCGGGTAATAGTTGCAAGTACCATTGTGAAGTACTGGCGGCTTATTCTTCACCCCAAGTCAGCCCTCAGCCGTGAATACCTGTTACGAAAACTAAGGTAGATGGATCGACCATGTCAAATCTAGTAGATGAGATTACCTATATCTGAGGAAAAGAGCTCTTTGCGAGCTAAGAGAGATAATTCTATTGAATGGAGGAAGTAGAATCACAGGGGTGATAATATACGGTATATAATGAAATATGTACAGTGTCTCTGGGATATAAAATGTTAACCTCGAAACTGGGATATTTAAGGGATTAGCCCTGTAGGCGCAGTTGGGCTAGCAATTAATAGGTTAGTATGTCTCTTCTCCTTACCCCGCTCGCCATGAAGTATGGTCCAATCGCCTTCTTCTAACATTCGGTTAGAAAAACACATTTTCAACGACATTTTTGGCTGCCTAACCTACACAGCCCATGAATCTTAACACCACTATCAATTCATCCTCTGTTCTAGCAATCAATGTCTCTCCAAAAGTCTGCTTCAGAAACTAAAGTTCGCAAGCATCTAACTCACGATCAATGTATTGAAATAAGAACATTAAGATGGCTTGACATTACAACATATATCCGACGAACTTAGCTTCACAAGAAGGCAAGTGCAACTTACGTATGCTCGAGAGACAGAGAATCCTAAGCCTCGCAAAAGATGTTTCTCTAAATTAAGCGAGGAACAAGTCGATGAGCTTGAGGCTTTCGTCCGGGAATCTCCTGAAAATCGACAGATGTGCTATTCGGAACTAGCGATGGGGCCTTTCAGCCACTGGGGGGATGCAGTGAGGGTTTAACTTCTAATGCCCTCAATAAAATAGGTTACAGCAGATGCATTGCTCGGAAGAAGCTTCCGTTAAGTGTGGTTAGCATGCACGAAAGATGTAAAGCGGTGATAAAGGAAAATGGAGGGTTCACAAAGTATTGGGATGGAACAGAATTATACAAAACATGAAGAACGCTTTCATCTTAGTTGCGAGCCATACTGAGGGCTTCGACGTAAACTTATGTAAAATAAAGCAATCATTTTTGAAACAGATGTGTATTTGTAGATAATATCAATTGATTTTTTTAATTTTTAATTTTAAATGAGGACCATTGTTCATTTGTTTTGGTGTTGAAAATCGTCCCCATTAATTTTGACTTTCACGGAATATCGTTGGATAGTACCCCTGCTTGCAAAACTAATCGACGAACTAGGCATGGGCCTGCATGAAGACTAAACCAATCTAATCAATATCCACAGGGATCTAACCCCAGTCATCTTGACAATCGTACTTATGATACCCTTAAGAGACTGTAGTATGTTTTAGTAATCCTGGGTGATGTATATGAATAAAGTACCGATTGTGTGTGGACACTTTCAACCTAACCAGCTATTTTTTTTTTTTTTTTTTTGCATCAGATTTTAATTGCGTATGCAGCTATCTAGCTATGACACAATATCAGAGAAAAGTACAGAAAAGATGACTCAGTTTATAATAGGAGCACTCATGCCTCGGATTTCATTTGCAAGTACCTGTAAAGGGTTTAAAGAATTCAGAAGTACTTGAAAGACGTTATCTCCATAGGAATTGATAATTTTTCCTTGGGAAGCTAATCTGCCTACGACGGCTCCTGTCCTTTATGTCCTCCTCAGCGTCGCGTTTAAGCTCCCCTCCTAGCCTACCTGAGAATACTCCATTCTCCCCGGCTACCCTCTTTCCTGTGACATCCTCCCCCCCTTAGTACGTACTCCCTTGGGTCCTTCCTCATGTGCAACCTTGCAATTATCCTTATGCAACACTGAGACTCGTTCTTGTGCGCAACCTTGCATTAATCCTTATGCGGCACTTAGATCCCTCTTTGTACGTATCCTTGCATTCTTCCCCATGCAACCTTTCGCGTCTCTGTAAGCGCTGCTTCGTTGGCGCTTAAAGATCTAGCCGGGTTGGTCCTAGTGACCAGTCCCAATCCGGGCACAGCCCGTAACAGTACCACTGCGAAGTTATGGCGGCTTTTTCTTCACCCCAAGTCAACCCTCATCCGTGTATATCCATCCAGGGGAACGTCTCAAAAACCCTGAGTTATCCAGACATGCCTCCATCATCTTTCAACTTTTCTCCGCGCGAAATGTAATCTGAGATATCTCCTTCCCAAGTGGATTAGGTGCCCAGGCTACTCAAACCATACCAGAGAACACCACCAGGAGGCGGACTACAACACCTTCCATCGTTTGCTTGTTTTTATAGTGTCAGCTGCACTCTCGCAAGCGAAGTCTTAGCGCGCATAAAGCTCAATTTGTAAAAGCTCGTCGCCAAAATTCGAAATTTCACGCCCGTCGAAACTGTGTACAATCCTCTTGTTGGTATTACAGGTCACTCGAGTAAGCAGGTAAAATTATCGGTTTTTAGTGTCTTCCTTCTTTCCTCTACTCTACAGCTATAGACAGAGAGGTATAAACCTTC